TAGCATGTATTGATGCACCAGAATCAAGTAAATCCATTGTTGCATATAGGATTTCTTGTTAGCTATGATTGTATTTGTAAATACGTTAGTACATACCCAGGAAACATATTGTTCGAATTGTTTGTCCTGGTTGCTCAGAATAAGAGCATAGGTGTTATTGTTCATTTCAACATTACTTTCTTTTAATTCAACATTGTTTTCGTTTGGGTTTTCAATAATAAATGTGTTTGTTGTGTTTTCCACAGTTTGATTTGTTTTATGCACAATGTTAGTCTGATGTTTGGTGTGTGTAAGCTTCATAGCTTCAGTAGGAGGTTTGCAGCATTCCTTAGAGAAATGTCCTGTTTTTCTGTAATTGTATTAATGTGTGCATTATTCTTCGTCCAATCATTGGAATCTTGTACTCGTTTAGCACAGTAATCATTGTAGGCATTCTGTAATGTAAGGATTAGTTACTTTGGTTTGACTTTCTTATGTTCATTGACTGGTTTGCCTTTGTTTTGGGCATCAGTAGATTGTATTATTGTATTTACTATGTGTGTATATTGCTCAGGAGTAGTAAGCAATATTGCTGCTTTGTATGTAGAGTTGCATGGTGGATCACTGTTAGCAGACAGAGTTGCATATGCTTTCTCAAGTCTGTCTAATGTATGTCTGAAATGTTTTACATGGTCTCTACAAATAAACAGTGCTGATTTGTTGATGGCCTTTTTATGTGCTGTCTAGGGGTTAAAGCATTCTTCAAGCACTTTCATTAACTGAGGGATAGACATATTGAAGTGCATATAGTTTGCCAATATTGTGTCAGCAATGTTATTGACTATGCATGCATGAATGGCCTTAGCCATCTCCCTCTCAGCTTTGTTCTGTGGTTCATCCTTTAGTAAGTGTTTGAAGCATGTAGCTGCAACACTAGAAACAATACAGTAGTGCCACATCTTGTAGTTTGCTTCAGTCTTAAGCATTGTAATGTTTTGACCAAAGTATTTAGGTACATTGGCTGGTTTACAGTGTGTATCTGTATGTGGGGGAACCATGATGCAAATGTGTGTGAATGTATGCAAGTAAAGAGTTTAGAGTGTACAGTGGATGTGTGTATGCAGGGAGCTCAAGGCTCATAACCTGTTAAGAGGGAGAACTTAAGGGGGGCACGCATAGACAAGGGGTGAGGTGACGATTGACTGCTCAGTGTCTCTCGTCCTTATATTGTATGTATTCTAACTGAGACATTATGAAGTCATTGTCTCGTGGTTCGTCTGTTGATGAACTAATCATCTCATAATAAATGTGCATGCAGCAACAGTCTAGCTCTTACTACAACATATACTTACTGTAACATAATGTGCCTTAATGAACAAGGACTTGAAACATTGTTGCTTTAAGCCAACAAGGTAGTAGAGTAACAGAGGCTTGCATTGTGAGTGACAATATAATACTTTGCTTCTCAAATACTCTCACAACCTCTTTCCACAGGGCCAAGATAAGAAATCTCCTTTGCATAATTTATTTACATAAACATTGTTGTATTGTGTGGCATTTGGCACAACAGTAGCGTTTGGCACAACAGGATGAAACCTTGGAGCATCAGAGCATGAATCTCATCCTGTAATGCCAACTATGCTACCCATGTATCAATTGCTATCGCTTCACACTTCCTAAACACACAGAAGACAGCATTATTGGTTTTGATAGTCGTTTGCTCGTTCATCTCTCAAGTATTACTCAATCTGATTCAGCTAAGCAAAGTCGATGTACATTTTACTTCATTATAAGGCAGAAAGTAGGGGCAGTAGCTCTGTGGCACAAACTGATTCTGCTAACGGGTAGATCTGATAATTGCCTCACCTTGCACAAATGGATAAACCCCCTTCACTTGACAAGCTGAAAGTTCTCGCATTACGAGACGACCTCAATGCCAAGCTCCATTCGACATGGAAACAACCTGACCTCAGCTTGAAACTGTTAGCCCCTCCTAACGGTAATGTCGGGGATTCGTTACGAGCTGGAGGATTTGGTGCAGTATATGTAGGTAGAGTTGCTCCCGGCGGTGACTGGTCCTGCCTGATCCGCTGTGAATGCGTTTCCGCTGTTATGACAAACTAACAATTCATCTTATACTTGACAGAGAGTGCAGAACAGTTTAATTAAAAAGAGTGTGAAAGAGGAAAACGGCGGCATAAAAGAAGTGGCGGCAGAATTTGCAGCTAAGGTAATATGGAAAGACTGGGACATTGTCGGGAAGCCCAGAGGCGACATTGATAGGCATAAAGAGAAGAGGAAAGTAATGATAGAAGCCAATAATCTTATGGAGTTGAGCCGCAAGCACAGACATATTGTACGTGTCTTCCTTCCTGAGATGGACAAGAGATCATGTAATTTCCTATTCTACAGTTGACCTGTTATGGGGTGTTTGAGAACGAAGGTCATTGGGTGCTTGTAACTGAGTACGCTATGCTAGGAGATCTCTTCGATTACTTTATAGCAAATCATAGAAAATTTAATGAAGGACGCATTGCACACTATACTAGGTATGACTCCTAAATATGCTAATAATCCTATTGTGCAACCTGCCTTTCCTGTGCAGGCAGATGGCTAAAGCACTCGTATTCCTACACAAGGAAGGGTTTATACATCGAGATATCAAGTAAGTGGAATGGTGACTACTATACATATAACCTGTTCTTTGCTCAGTACAACAACTGTATTAGATTAGACAACTTTCTACTTTTACTTAGGGACTCTCCTGATCTATCTTCGCAAAGAGAGGTACTAGTCCTTGCTGACCTAGCATTGTATGTCGAGTATCTGCACCATTCTTATGAGTCCTATTGACTTGTAGACTTTAGTTTAGTCAAGAAGGATGAGGATGGAATGGCACAAGATGATTTTGGTACAGACGACTATCAAGCCCCGGAAATGTTTACTGGGACCCGGTACACTGACAAGATGGATGTGTGGGCATTGGGGTAGGCTTGACTGTTTCAACTGTATCTAGTCATTTATTCCAATCTTTTCCTTCCCAGAGTTGCAGCATATGCTCTTTTATTTAAGCATATCCTTTATAATGCTGTTGCAGAAATGTTCAAGGTTAAAAGGAAAGACGTGGGTACTGCATGGGTTGCACGCAAGATAAGTGACAGTCATAGAAACTCAAAGAAAGGCTTAATTGATCGAGTGTTAGATACCAAGATAGAACGAAGTATCCAAGATTACGGGTGGGAAAAGGAGAAAGCTGAAATGAGTAATCCGTTTTTTTTCTTTTGCAAAATTGATATTGATGTATACTTTGGCCAAAAGTAAGAAGTTTCGTGCGTGGATGCTTAGAGCCTGACGAAAGCAAGAGACTCTCAGCCAAAGAGGCACTTGAGCACCCAGTAAATTCTCAAACACACTACTAAAAAACACTTACATACTGAATATTGTACAATTTCCAGTGGTTGAACGGTACTGACATAGAAAGAGGCGTTGATTGGGATTTCAAAACAAGAGACGAATGGAGGAAAATTGCAAAGAAGGGTAGAGTTGCTAAGATACGCGAAGATATTCAAAAGAAATTCGGCACTATTATATCTGGGGAGCAGGTTCCAAAATCGGCTTCGGATACAGCTAAACGGCAAGAGTCAGGGAGAATAAAAAAGCAAGGTCAATCTCAGATGTCCATTCATGGCACAGCGAAAAATGATTTGAGCGAGGCAAAGGGAAACGGGACTACAAGAGGAACGCATGCAGATACACAGGCAGAAAGAGACAAGACCAATAAAGTTGCATCCGGTGTGAAACCCAAGAATGTGAAGAAATAAAGGGGACAATGTTGGTTGTAGGGTTGCTGTAATGTAGAAATAGCTAAATTAGAACCTGCTAATACAGCGAAAAGGGGGATGTATTATAACATAATAGTCTTACTTCACTTAATACTCTGCAGTGATTGCCGATTGGTTTCCGTTGATATCACATGGAATCTTGTTAGAGGAAGATTTGACCGCGTTGTTGCTCTGAGATGAATGCATTCATTAAATACGCAATTGGTTAGTAACGATTGAGGGGGGACGGTTCATTTCAGCTAATCATGCTTGACGCCCCTCATAAACCTAAGTGCTGATGCTTAACTCTCCTTTTCCTTTTCCCTTTCCCTTTCCCTTTCCCTTTCCCTTTCCCTTTCCCTTTTGATCTATTTATAGAAGATAAATAAAGCAGGCGAAGTTAGTTTCGGACTCGGAAACTGATAAGAACTAGTCAAGTTAATCAACGTCAGGGATAACTGTCCTAAACTGATGATTAAGGACAGAGCATGTGATGACGTCGTTCTTCGGATGATTATCGTAGATCCCAAATGCCTGGTAAGGCTCAAGTCCGACACCGAACGTCCTGAATTCTGTTGGAAGGTAAATCATCAGGTGATTAGGAAGGCGCATCATTGCATGGTACCGACTATGTAAATACCTGCAGAGTGCTCGTTTTGTAGTCCGCTCCAGTTGACCTCGATAACATGTCGGCCTGTGCTCTACGAAAGTTGCCCGAGTCCGAGGCTCCGCTCCTGGATAAAGAAGTCATACAAAAGAAGTATGTTCTGCCAAGGAACGAAATGGAAGTTCAACGGTGAGCTATTCCAGGGTCTTTCCTCACCTCTTGTGTCTGAAACTCCAGCCCTAGACTTAATGTCCAGCATGAATTCTTGACCGATGTGCTTGGCGGGCGGCTTATCCTGGACAAGGATGTTAAATTAGGGCCCGGAGATCGGGTCTTGGATTCTGGAACTGGAGCAGGTTTATACCATTGCCGAAGTTGCCATTTGAATAGCACTCACGTAGAGCATTTAGGTTCATGGATTATCGCCTTGTCAAAGCAAGTTCCGAAAGCCGTCGAACTGATAGGGACTGACATATCGTCAGCTATGTTCCCGGAGCAGGTTCCGGATAACGTCCATCTCTTCGAAGCATCATCAACGGATCTTCCCTTCGAGTGGATCGACACATTCACTTTGATCAGCCAACGTCTGCTCTGTGCCGCTCTCACCGTTCCTCTGTGGCGAGCAGTGCTTTCTGAGTTGCTTCGCGTACTTAAACCCGGAGGTACCATCCAGTTCATGGAATTTGGACAGTTCGGTTCAACCGTCGACGTGAACTTGATCCCAACGTGCGTGGGTGCGATTGACATGGCCACCGCAGTCATGACCAAACGAGATCTGCTCGGTATACAGAGTGGAATCGAACTCCCTGGTATGCTTGAAGAAATAGGATTCTCCGACGTACGTGTGAAAGTTTACGAAGCGCCAGTTGGTAAGACGTGGGGAGAGATTGGCCTGAAAGGCGAGAAAATCACTGAAGGCTTCCTACGCGCGACGGGCAGGCTGCTAATGGCAGAAGGAGGTCTCGGGATTTACAGCTCACAAGCTGAAGTTGATTCAATGATTGACCGGGCGAAGAAAGAGTGGAACGAAAATCCTGGAACATTCCTCCATTATTATACGATAATAGCTAGGAAACCTTTGTAGAGACTCACTGTACCTTCTTTAGGACAACTATTCTAATTTTTACCTATCAATACTAAGATATCCAAACGAGCGGCTTTCGCCCAATTTACGCACATTGTCGTCACTTTGCTCATGGCGAAAGAGACTCAGACAAGCTCGTACATGAAGATGGCACTGTCTTTATCCTGGTCACTTGGACCTTCGTGAAGACTGTAAAGTGATTAAGAAAACAAGGCAGTCTTGAACTTCGACGGCGACGTCGGCCCCTGGGAGAAGTTGGTGTCCTTACAAAGCTGCCAGCATTGCAACGGAGATCTCGACGAAGCGGACACTGTGGCCATGTCCGCGTAAAACTACAAACGGAAGAGTCTGAAAATAAAGCGACCAATAAGTACATGATCTGCGCACCAAAATTGGGAAAACAGATCAGTCACATGTGACATCACAGAAGTTAGAACGGATCTTCAACCAACTGAACTTTTGCTTGCAGTTACTCAGTAACTTATGCTGACACCTCTTCAACTGTCTGACTTGCCCATGGCTGGTGGATCGCAAACAGATGAGTTAGCTGCTGGTGCTTTCTCCACATGATCTAAGTATCGAGTGCATTTGAAATGCTTGGCTTGGCCATCTGGTGTCTTCTGCCGTCGGTTGTTCACGCACGAAACTTCGCTTCAGAGGGCTCGTGTCGCCACCGGCGCTCCGCTTTACAATGTTGCGGTCTACAATTCGATTTGGGTCTCATGTATCAAAACTGTTCTCGTTGCACAGGAAGAAATATCATTCTATGCAGAGCTGACAGCTGGTTGCGTGGTTTACGGCATGACGTTCTGGTCATTGTTTTCCAAGAATAATATTAATGTCAACCCGGCTCCCTCAAAATCTGTTCTGTGGATCAGATAATGACTATGGATGCTATTGACCTCGCTGCCACTTGTTTTGACTGCACCAATGTCCTCTGGACTCACTCAGTTCAAAGGTCCAGTAATAGTGGTATCGCAAACTATCAAATTAGTGTAACCACATCCTCTATTTGGATTACCTGGCGCCTATGCCTTTTGGCACAAGCGTGTCTTTTTACGTCAGTCAATTTCAATATCACCTCTCCGTTTCTCTGATATCCCTCTCTATCTCCTATTGAGCAAAGCTCGGAACAAGGCACCCATGTATATTTACTTTTCACAGGCATGCACTGCCTGTTGTTGTTGTCGAGGACACCGATATATACTGCAGTTCCCCACTTACCGCCTTCTATCCTCACACTCGGATCCTTTCCTTGAAACCTCGCAACAGTAATATTTGGGATTGCGCGCGCTGGTCGTAGAACGAAAATCCGACATGGATCCTCTTCGCGACGTCAATCCAGGAATTCTTGCGGAACTTAGGAACTTCGATATTACCGGGCTTATATACGAAGGAGACACTAAAGTAGTTAAAGGGGGGAGCTACGGTGATGTCTCAAAACGCCATGTCAGAGGTCTCGATGGAACATATATCTCCGTTGCTGTCAAGCGTCTGCGTGTGTTCGGTGTGCAAGACATAACCACAGTAAGCGACTTGATATGCGTTGTACTTGCTCTATGTATCAAGTTCTAACCCATTATTCAAGCTTTTCGAGAAGGAGATTTATGTCTGGTCCAAACTAAGCCATCCCAACATACTGAGATTGCTTGGCTACTCATTCGACGATAACACCGATTTTCCGATGTTTATTTCTCCATGGATGGACAAAGGGACGCTCTCGTCATATCTGAGGGCTGAACCTCACTACGACGCTCTACAACTAGTGAGTTGATGCTATATTATAGTTTGTGCAACACTCATCAGTTGTGCGACTCAGACGCTTGGAATTGCCGACGGACTTGGTTATCTGCATCAGCACGGTATAATTCATTCGGATATGAAATCAGTAAGTAGAACACCTAACCGCCATTTAATTATTTTAACACTGGTCTTCCGAAGGATAACGTACTTGTCTCAGACAGCGGTCAGGCTACAATCTGTGACTTCGGACTCTCCCGGATAATCGAGGCGAGCCGTTCGCTGGGACGACTCACGTCGACTTCGAAGGGTACCACGCGTTATATGGCTTATGAGCTGCTTATTCTCGGACAAAAGAACTCGGAAAAATCGGATGTTTGGGCCTTTGGAATGATTGTCTATGTGAATTCTTTTATACTCTATACATGACCTCGACTTGAACCTTTTATTTACTGAAGTCTATCTGGTGTATTAGGAGATTTTAACGCAGCTATCCCCATACGCGGACTGCACGAATGATGCACAAGTCGCACTGGCAATTTTTAACGGCAAGCTTCCATCCCGGCCTTCTGATTTCGATGCAACGACGCATATAGACCCTGGTATAAGCCACTTACTGTGGGATATCTGCCGTGGCTGTTGGGTTCAAGACCCTCAGGAACGATGCTCGATGGCCGAGATTGTAAAAAGGTTGCAAGTGGCACAAGCTCTGAGACTGCCACCTCTGCAAAGTGAAGTATCTGGTCCAAAAAGAAACAAAGTCTCCTTGAATAATATACCATCGCTAAGCGAAATGTACGAGCGTGATCATCTTTCGATGACCTCAGACATCTCTCCGATGTTTGAGCCTAACTATGCTTATCTCGACATTATCGCTATAGTTCAAGGCGACATCACGGAATTGGACGTCGACGCGCTTGTCTACGAACCCGACTCGTATTTAGGAAACACAGAAAACGTAATACAAGGCAGCGTCAGCAGTAGATTACATGAACTGGCTGGTCCAAGGTTTACGACGGACTTTAAACAACTCTCACTTGATTACGGCGCTGTTCGAGTGACACCTGGTCATAATCTCTTCGCGAAGCACGTCATCCATGCTCGTGGACCAGGTCCAGTTCTTGCTCATCAGGCTTCCCTCGGAGCTGGAGCTGGGAATCTAATGCAACTGAACGCATGCTACACGCGCAGCCTAGAGCTAGCGAATGGGAGTTACATGAAAAGTATCGCTTTCTCTTCGATCTCGACGCATGAGGGAGAGTTTCCCATTGAAAAGGCTGCACGGATCGCACTGGAAGGAACGCGACGCTTTCTCGATCGACAACGTACATTCGGGGCTCTACGCCTGAGTCGGGTCATATTTGTTGTGGAAGAGGCCAGTCACAGAGAGGCGTACGAGAGGCTCATACCGCTATTCTTTCCGTCTCCGCGCATTAGGATAACCCTGCACCGAAAGTAATGCATAGTAATTGGCTGTCGCACTAGAACTTTATTTTCTTGTTATCTTCACTCTCTGCGCATAGATGCCCCCACAGCAATAATCATAATAACTACTATCTTATCAAGAGAGAGGGGAAATGAGTAAGGTAAAATGTGTCATGGCACGAGATCAACACGTACGGGCGAGGCTCGTTCCGTTGGCGCGTCATCGTGTTAAGCTTCATCGTTGCCCGGAAATGTCTTAGTTCGCTCACCAACGCTCCTTTGCAATCAACCACCATCCTTCTGCACGTACATCCCACAGCCCAACGAGCTCGGGGTTTCCTGCTTGCTGTTGACGACTGAGACGACTGCATGCCTGGGACGGATGCCGCACCGTCCAGCAGACTCGCGGCTTCTTTCAAACCTCCTCTCCCATGAAAAGGACTATGTCCGCTCTCTACATTCGCAACTCGATTATGGACAAGCATCCCTTTCTTCCTTCTCGGCCTATGCGGCAGCATCGCCACCCACTGCTTCACGAACAATCGGGTCGGTTGCCACGGCGCTGGTGGGTGCACACGACGCACTAAGGGGTTACGCCCTTGCTGTCGAAGAATGGTGCGAGCAGCTCAAAATGCTTAAGGACATGGAAGACGAGGTCGGGATGATCGCACGAGATCGGGAGATACTGTGAGTCGCCATGGTTGTCTGTGTCATTGCAGAATGGAGAATGTCTGTTTATTTATATGTACTTTCGGCATGACCTCAGCGTGGACCGTCTCATTAAGGCTTCCAAACAAAATAACCCCAAACGGCGTTCCAAACTTTCACCGACATCGAGCAGCCAGAAGGGTGCATCTGCGTTTTCGGCTTCACATTCTACGCTAGAGCAGCTTTCTTTCAGCAATTCAAAATTGAACCTTGCGCAGAATGAGCTGCAGGCATGTGAGACACACATCACAGAGAAAGAACGTATGCTTGCCCAGATGCGTGAGTCAGCCCTTGTAGGAGGCTTGAAATCTCGATGTAGGGCTCTTGTGGAGTGTGGTTTGAAATGGTCAGAAGTGGGGAAGTCTGGATTAATAGCTCTGGACTCTTCAGTTTCGAGGGGATCTTTCGGTAAGCCATGTCCTTTCTACATGTTTCACTACGATGCTATCGACCAGCTGCATCTATATCACCTATTCCCCACTTTGCTTATATGAATTCTGACGGCATTTTTGATGAAAAAGTGCTGATATCGTGTTTATAGACCACACCAATGGTCTCCTCACACAGAAACCCCTTCCCAACCTAGCTCCTTATCCTTATCAACGACCTTCTTCTGACATTTCTTCATCACTCGGCCCCTCAGAGTCAGCATCACAAATACTTCACCCGAATGCCATATCCGAGCAATATCGTCCTGGAACTAGCAGTTCTTCCGCACCAGCAACTCACACGTCCATGCCCGAGGCAGATATTCGTGACGAGTCGAAGTTCGCGCTGCACCTCCCTCCTGCTCATGCAATCTCTGAAGAGGACCATTACACGCCTCCTCAGATGCGACAACCGGTGCCTGTTCCAGTGGAAGACGAAGCTGGCGGCAGCAGCCTTGAAGAAGATGCAGACGAACAGCAGTACGAAGTGCATGAAAATCCTCTCTTCTCACACCCACTTGCTGCAAATGCAAAATCCACACCAAGTGGATCAAAGACGCGTCTTCCATTAATGCGCCCAAAACGGCTGAATTCAGATAGTACTGGAATGCGGCCTACGTTCGGTGGTGCAGGTTCACCACCTGCCCATTTGTCAAAGGCCGATGCAAGGAAACAGAGCATTGATCCCTATGGTACTGCTTCCAGTGCTAACACATACACGGAAGGTTATCAAGACTCTCCACGTACTCGGAAGCGATCAACGTTTCTTGGTTTGGGAGCACTTTCCAGTATTTTCCACAGAAAAGAGCGAGCAGAAACTTTGCCTACTTCCCGCTCGGAACAGCATTTGCCTTCCTCGCCCAAGAAGGGTGTGCGTTGGCTCACGAGGACGGACAAGAATTTGAAGAAGTCTGGGAAAGGTGATGAGAGCTCTGACGACGAAGGGACGCCACAGCCCGCGGTACCGTCGTACTTGGCTCATTTAGCTGCGCAGAGAACTGCATCAGAATCTCGTTCAAGGCCAGTCGAGAAGGCAGAAGGGATTGATCGTCCAAAGCGTAGTCCCTCCGCTGGGAACAAGCTGCGCAAAGCATCTGATGGCAGCACTCAGAGAAAAGTATCTGGAGCCGAGGATCAACAGAAATCAGGAACAAGGAAGCCTAGCGGTGATGCTGCTAAGTTAAATGCAACGGTCTCGCAGACAGAAGGTCTTGCAAACGGACATGTCTCGTCGCTCGGTTCACCCTCAGTTTCACGTTCATCGACCGTTAAGTCACAGTCAACGGTAAAGACTAGTTCTTCGGTTAGACCTGCCTCGCTGGACCTTCCTCCAAGTGCCGCAGGGAGGCGAACTGGCGGACACCGGCGGAGGACAAGCTTAGGCAATACCTCTGTCCCACCAACACACGGTCAGACCAGCCTAGTGAGTATCGTCGAGGATATCACACGACAAAATCGTCAAGGATGGTTACAATCAAACCCAAATAGTTTACTCGTCGAGATCAAGGCCCCGAAAAGCGTTTATGCTGATGGTATCTCCGAGGACACTGAGATATCTCCTACAGAACGAGCTCGCTCGGATGCAGCACATGCTCTTGAGGGACGCCGACGAGAGCCGCCTTTGCGACCACATCTTTTGAGCGATTATCAAAGGAATGGCATTTCTGCATCGAGCTCTGAACCTTCGTTGCCTCTGAAGCGTTTACCAGCTACACCGTCCCCGACTATGAAGGTCCCCCTGCGTTCTGCTTTGCGAAACCGATCGGCCAGTCCGAGTCCAGCTGCATTGACACCGCCTCGAAACGAAAGCCCTTTGCGAACTACTGTACTTACTAACGGTGTAATTCCTCATACGAAGATTTCCGCCGATCGGAACGACAAAAGCCCCGTTTCACCAAAAGATAGTGATACAGCATCTCTTGAGTCTGCCTACGAAACGGGTCACGAAGACCTTGATTCCGGACCTCCAACTCCCCAAGCCGAGAAACCACAGCCTGTGTTACCTAACGGATTCATCGAAGAGACGCAGCCGAATGGATCTCATGTATCCGCCTCGTCGACAGGCGGAACTGCAACTCCTCCATCTCGAAGAAAGAGTGTACGTGTATCACTCAAGCCTACGTTCTCTCCTACACCTCCAGCAACGACGGATTACGAAGAGGATCATGCGCCGTGGGCTCCGACTACGCCTGCAAAAGACGAACCTGCCAGCAGTACTTGGACTACACGACATTCTGAGAGTACTGGATGGGAGGACTCGAGTGAGGAAGATGAGGAGTATTCTCGTGCACGGCAAATGCTTGCGAAAGCCTCGAGGAAGTTGGAGAAAGTGTATAAAAGCAGGGAGTGAACTTGACTTGACGACCTGGCTATATGCGCCTCTTTTCTGTCCGCTTTCTTCGATATTCCATTTTATATTCGTCCTTTGCCTGTTGTTTCTTATATAGCCACTTCAGATCCTTTCCATACTTCTTTTCTGTTCTTCATGTCCGGGTTTCCTTTGCTTCTTAGCAAGTTTACAGTCTTTGTTGTTATTTCCTAAATATGCATATGATAACATGGTGGGATTATAATTTTTTCGAGATTGAATGTGACTATGACTGCCTGTGCATGTCGCTCTTTATTTCAGGACTTTTTCCTTGTCGTCTTGTCAAGAAATACGCTTTTAAAATTTAATTTATTCTTGAGTTGCAAGGCTCACGTGAAGTTTCAATCACGTAATTTGATTTCTGTGCAACGCGCACAACTCTTCTTTCTGTTCTGAACCATCGTGGTAGCTGTTCTTCCTACCGCGGGCCTTCAAACTGCTAATGCATTTCTCCTTATACACAAATTGATGCTGCTGGCTCCTTTTCCCTCAGTAGTCCTCCCGCTGCCAGGGAGACTCAGGGCCTGACAGATAAGAGAGAAAACAACAAAGTTAATTCCGCTTATCACAACGTTGCCCTCTTATTGTTCTTGTGTACGTTATGAATGGGCGTCTGTTGGTATTCCTCATGTCTCCGAGTTCCTTCTTAGTGTAAAGTTCCAGGCTGTGAAGGTGAGACGTGTGCACGTGTTAGGTATTTTAAATTGGGCCATATCTCTAGTTGCCTTGCTTTTCGTCCATCATGTCCGCATTCTCCAGCTCGCACCCGTCAAGCTCGACTGATACCATACCTGGGGCCACTCTTTGTCAATATTATGCTGACGATGAAGCAGACATTGTGCTTAGGACCCCGGACGGGATGCTCTTTAAAGTGCACGGCCTCATACTGAAACTCGCATCCGATGTCTTCGAAGGGATGCTGAGTATTCCACAGGGTCCATCCAAAAGGTCGGAAATCGTCCAACTCACAGAGGACGCGGACGTGGTGCAGGCTTTGCTGGACTCGATATATCCTCGCCGTCCTCTTCCAGAACTGAAATCGTTCGACTTTGTGCTGCGACTTGCGGCGGCGGCGGACAAATACGATATCCCCGACGTGACCGATCGTATCAGGAATATGATCACGAGTGGATCTTCAGTGCTCACTGGCAGTCCTTTACAGCAGTACGCACTCGCAACCCGTTTTGGGTGGGATGAAGAAGCCCGAGTCGCCTCGGCCTCCACGACACCTCCAAACACAGAAGTCACTTTGGAACGTTGTGTACTCGAGACGATGAGTGCAGAACATCTTTTGAAACTTTCCAGCTTGCATCATCGCCGACACTCCATGATAGCGTCAGTGACTATTTCATTTTCAACGAATACAGCAGAGGACATACGCGCGCGTCAGTTGCGTTGGGAGTATCTCAGTGACGAACATCTCCCATGTCGTTCCCAACACATAAACAGGACTGCATTTATAGCTTTCAAATATGTCGCGTTGGAATATTTGGAAAAGGTGAAACCGCTTACCTGCAATACCGTTGGATTTGGGGACAAGTTTTGGAGCGACCAGCGGTTGAATGCCCTATGGGATGACAAGTGCACGAAATGTGGAAGCGGCTTTTTCGAAAAACAGACCTTCATACCTGAATTCAACCGTTTCCTTCGTCAACTTCCGATATTCATTGATTAATCACCCTGCCCGCGTTGCCTCTGTCGATGACTCCTTACAGGGTCATCCATATATGAATAGTAACCATCGTTGCCCATATCAAAAGACCTTCTTCACATAACGATTCACCGTCCAATTGTAGTATCTGTTATTCTGCATTCATGCTCTGTACTCCTTAATATGGTGAGATAACTCTAGAGAAACTTAAGGCCCCCACGAGGCTTGTGCGTGATCAAATTGTCCAATGGCTCCTTTATGACTCTTCACGCAACTATTCTCTCCTGTCACTACCCTGTACCATCTGCACGCATCGTTCTACTGCAGGCCAGCAAGCACTTACCAGTAAGTACCTCAAAACTGTCACTCGCAGTACTCAAAAGACTAACTCAGGACGTAGACACAATATGTCGAACGAAGACGACTTCAAACCGTGTCTTCCGGGTCCTGACGAGTCAGACGCATGCCGCAAGCTTTTAAATGTTCACGGAGAGTACGACTTCCCGGATGCAGACCTGGTGTTATCCTCTAACGACGGCCAACGCTTCCGGGTCCATTCCTGCGTTATGAGGCTCGCTTCTCGTGTGTTCAAAGACATGCTAGACATGCCTTCGCCTGCCGGCCTACCAAAAGATATCGGTGTGGCTAGGCTTGTACCTTTGCAGGAGAGAGGGGAGGTTGTGAAGTTGTTATTGGACTTGGTATACCCGGACCGATCATTCTTGGAACCGGAGAAGTTATCCTTTGATTTATTTCGTGATCTCTGCATAGCAGCAGACAAATACGACATGCCCGGTGCGCAACATATACTTCGAATGACATTTCAACTAGGAGTCAACTGTTATCCTCTTATCGCTGGATATGTCTTGGCATCTCAGCTCGATTGGGAGAAAGAGCGACAACTATTCTCATTCTCAAACAAGACGTTGGGAATCAACTTGCGATCGCCAGAATCAAGGGAGCAGCTACGGGCTATAAACAGTCTGGCGGTTTGGGACCTGATTGAACTTCATGATCGCCGCAGAGATCTGCTCGTTGAAGCCCTGGATCTGGGCAAATGGCCTCGTCCAGAAGGATCCTTCACTGTAAATTGGGAAAGGATAAGAACACACACGGATTATCGGCGTGGGTGTTGCGGAACGGTGTCGACGTGCACGCAATGTCCCAGCTGGACAGCCTTGATTTATCGTCTTTCCGAGAAAATGGAGAATATATCGCTTGCAACATCTCTCAGAGATAGTGGATTTTGGGACCGAGAGGAGTTTAAGCTGATATGGGAACTCACGTGCTGTGGGAGTACCAAACTCATCTCTAAAGAAGGCCTCAAGAACGAAGTTCTTCGGATCCTTGATAATTTGCCCAAGACAGTCTGACCCTTTTCAGGCACGTTGAAAGCTAGTCGTCTTCTGTGCATACAAAGCCAAAACTAACTTTCACAGTGTAGCACCACATTCGTGGCATTTGTTATAATATTGATGTGGCTTGTGCAGAGTACATAATGCTTGGAGAAAGTTGCAAGAGTAACCATAAAAATACACATGTGATTCCTTAAGACCACGTCAGAGCATCTGGTGGAAGATCACGCAAGCGTTGCTGCACAAAATGAACGGAAGAAGTCGTTTCGTATCTCTCTAAAGCTCCTTGTCACGATGCCGAAGCTCAGAGCCATTCAAAAGAGAATGCATAAGACATGTACATTTTGCCCTACATCTCAGGCATTGTACATAGTAGTCCGTCACACTCGCAGCTACATGCATCCATATAATACCAGTAAAAGACTTAGCAACCAAGAAGTGCCAAAGCTCGTTGAATGGAGGTTAGGATGAATACATTATTTGTGCATTTAGTAAGTAAGCGGATGTTCAACCGAACGTCCAAAAGCTTCTACCATCTTAGCACGAGTGATCTCCCAGATATCCGGTTTTGGCGGGAGTGGAGCCTGTCCACCTGAAAGTAGCTCAACACGACGAGGGCTTCCAGCTCCTACAGGTGAAGGAGTCTTGTCGAGTTGCTTGCGAAGCTCCTTGATCTGTCCCTTCAGTGTTTGTTCGAACGTCCTCTTAGAATCGCCTGTTACCAGTAGCACGAGCGAAGAGACGCTACATGATATTATGAGGCAGCATGTATATGAAGATGAGTTGGAGACTTACAAGCATTCTTTGAGGTAGGCGAAGGAGAACCCATACGTGAGGTCGGCAACTTCATTAGTAAGTCGATCAGGGAATTCGACTTTGTCGTTGTCGATCAGTTTGTTCTGCCAGAACTTCGCATAAAGGAGACGTTCATCGCGATCGGGGTCGTCGAAGTTGCTAAAAGCCATTTGATCAACGAGCTCATCCTGGTGCTCTTATTAGTTTAAAACTCACTACTTCCTGTCGAATCGGCTCGGTCTTGTTGACAGACCAGGGTCGAGCCTATCGAAATGGTTTGTGGTTGCAATGAGCAAAAGGCCGTCATTGCCCTGAAGACCGTCCAGTTGGTTCAAGAAGAAAGAACGGTTGCGATCATTGATCAAACTGTCGAGGTCTTCTAAGATGAGGACACAGGGAGCGAGAATGCGCGCTTGACGGAAGACCTCGTCCATTGAGCCTTCTTCACCTCTCCAGCCTAATTATTTACAACGAAAATAAGTAAAGTTGAACGTGGTCACACTTGAATATAGACGACATTACTTTGGAAGGATTTGACATAAAGTGGATTAAAGCCCTTGTCTTGGACGGTCTTCATGATAGCTTTAAGACTAATCGTTTTGCCATTGCCTCCAATGAATGTGAATACCAGCAGAAATTACAATCGTCGACGCCACACATACCTGGAGGACCATACATGATCAATCCCCTCTTCCAAGGTATCGAAAGACTCTTATAAAGATCCTCCGAGTCAAAGAATGTGTAAACGTCGTTCTGTAGCTCCTTCTTAAATGAATCCTTCAGAATAACATCATTCCAGTTTGCTTTTTGCACCTCCATCCATAATGCAGCATCCTTGTTCCAGAATCCATTGTTGAAGACCCAGATTTCGTTGTGCAGTTCATAAGACCATGTACCGACTGCAGCTAGTAGAGCTAGTGCCGGATTCTTCGGGCCCTCGTGGAGAATGTAGTGTTGGATATAGGATCCGAAGCCCTCAGGGTACCTCATTATGTAGATTGTGAATTCATATTTCTTGAGGCAACAATTTTAGAGTGAATTAGCTATGATGTGGCGAAGAAGGACTCACGTCCCAAGCAGTTCGGAAAGCACCGAATTCTATCGAGCTAGCAAGCAGACCTCCAGCGCCACGTGCGAGAGGGAAGAAGAACATGTTTGTGATGAGTTCATCGGGTTTGAGTGGGATAGTGACTGCATGCGGAAATCCTAGGATGTTAAGATTGAAATCTTGGGACATGACGACTGAATGATTGGGATACAGCTTTCGTAGGAGATCAGCTCTGGGACAGCGAAAGAATATGCATTAATTTCGATGTCTGAATCCTGGATATCTGCACCCGTGGATAGAATAGGAGATACGTACCCGATTACATTCGGCCTTGCGAACTGGGCGGAGGCTTCACGTATTCGTCAATGCAGCCAATGGACGTACTTAAGCACCCAGTTACTTGTACAGACAGGACCTCAGCGACACGAACCTTTATCAACCCATTTGCTATACATATCGCTGTCTCCCTCTCGAGCAGAGCACAACGTATCGTCCTCCTCGAAGGAGACTTTGATAAAGGCATCTTCAAGACCAGTTTGACTTCTGGGCATCATCTTGTCGAGCGTGTAGGACAAGCACGGTACTTAGTGTGAGGTTGATAACGAGTGAGCTGCGGCCGCCAGATCAATGAGCGGCAATGCTTGAGTGATGCCCGTGCTTGCGCGCGTCACACGAATGCTGCGCGTCTAGATACGCGTACATATCTAATACGCGACGTGATATCATTCCCCCATGGCTTGATAAAGCGAAAATATATGATGGGATGCTAATTAATTGAAGTCGTACAACTCGGAAGCAAATGCATTGACTATCGCTCGCAAACATTATCTTACTAAATGACTACAATCGTGTTTCGCGTGTAAGGGACTAAGAGTATTAGGTAGAGTAGCTGCTTCATGTGATATCTGCCCGTGGGAATCTAGTGCATAATCAATCTCTGTCACGGTACCACGTTTTGCGCGTCTTGAGTCTTGACGGTGCCTTAGTTCTCTTCTCGAAAGTACAGCTGCGAAGGGTCTTTTAAATTTCTTGTACTCATCCTCTAGCATTGCTGCATAAATATCCCGCAACTGTCGATGTGGTCGAAGGCCCCGTGCCTCTCGCCTATACTGTACTCAGGCGACTCAACCTCCATATGTTTGCTTGTAGCAACCCGCGACACCATGTATTTATTCATGTACAACCCTTGCGATAACGACCCTCCAGTTGCCCTTCCGACGACAGAACTCAGCAAGTCCATCCTGAAACTTTGGACTCCCTCCAAAGAACTGAAAATGCTGACCGTCATCTACTTCTCAACGCAATCGACCCCCCAAGCCTTTCCTACTGCTGCTATGTTTATACTTCTGTCTGTATAACGTTGAATTTGCCTCTGCAGAACTTCTCCTAAAAAGAACCAGGTACTTGCATAGATGAAATGCAAAATCTTCCATAGTGCGTGAAAGAAAGGAGGGTCGAACGTAAATACATTGAGACATTTTACCGACCCATGAAATCATATATGACGAAATGAGACATGCTGGACAAGCTGCGTCTCGTGGATGTGAGTGAGTGAAAATGCACATAGCTTGAGACGAATTCTGAGTTTCGTTGGTTTGAATCTCGACCATCAAGCACCTACCATCAGTAAGTACCTATTCATCTACCCGAACAAGCATTCAAAGAACAGCACAGGAAGTGAAAACGACATGTCAAACGAAGGCAAGTTCGGATCGCCTCCGAGTCCGCGCGAGTCAGACATATACCATGAGCATTCGGATGTACATAGCGACTACGACTTCCCTGACGCAGACCTAGTGCTGTCCTCCTGCGACGGTCAAATATTTCGTGTCCACTCCTGCGTCATGAAGCTCGTCTCCCGTGTTTTTAATGATATGCTGGGCGTACCTTTGCCTCCAGGTCAACCTAAAAGGAACAGTATGCAAGACGTTGTACCGCTGCAAGAGAGCGGGGAGGTTGTAAAGTTACTATTGGACTTAGCATATCCCGACCGATCATTCTCGGAACCCGAAGAGCTCCCGTTCCCTCTATTTCGGGATCTCTGCGTCGCAGTAGACAAATACGACATGTCAGGCGCGCAGCAAACGCTTCAAATGACACTTCATCGAGGAGTTGATTGTTATCCTCTTATTACTGGATACGTCTTAGCATCGCAATTTGGATGGGAACGAGAAAGGAAACTCTTCTCGAATAGAACGTTAGGAATTGATTTACGATCGCAACAGTCAAGGGAGCTCCTACGAGCTGCGGCTGGTCCCGCTACTTGGGATCTCCTCGAACTTCACGAACGCCGTAGGGACATGCTTGTCCGAGCCTTGGATACCACAAATTGGTCCAGATCAGGATGGGGTGTCCACATAGGTTGGGAAAAGGCAGGAGCTCACGTGTGTGTGCAAACATACGGCCTATTGACCAGAATGTACACGCAATCGCCCGACTGGACAGCATTGATCTATCGTATCTCCCAGAAAATGGAGTACTGCTCGCTTGGAACGTCTCTCCGGGACGATGCATTTTGGGATCAAGGAGAGTTTAAAGAAATTTGGGAAATTAAATGTTGTCACAATTGCAACCTCATTTGTAAAGCCGACCTTAGACAGGAAGTTCTTCGGGTCATTGATAACTTGCCTAAAACAGTCTAATTCAGCTTCAGGTAAGCTGTAGACCCTACAGTGCGTCAAGCGAAACAGTAAACTAACACAAACTTGAAGGATGCAGGTGCCACGTTTGTCTACCATCACAGCAGTGCAGAATTCACAATATTTTGAGAAAAGCTGTAATAATAGTCTCAGAGATAAGCAATGATTCCCTGAGAAAATGAGGACCACCTCTATGGACCTGGTAGCGTTGTATCGGCGTCGATTCGGCGAAGATAATCTGTATATTTTACGAATCACAAGCACATCACGTGACACGTATCACTCATGCTACTTCAATGTCGAACCAACTTCAATACTTTTTTTAGAATCTCTCTTGACCTGATACTCCTCAAAATCACCGTGTTAAGTTATTCCAGCATCAGCATCATAGGATAGTCAATGTGAATGGCTACATTGGCTAGACATCCATTTGGCGCTCACCGGCTCATCCAATAACATAATCGAGGGTTTATTCCAAGCTTCCAGAAGCAATGCATCAGGCGACGTACTCACAGGTAATATCAATGACATGAAAAGCACAGTGTAAGCAGTATATTCCTCGTCCGACATTCGCTTTCTCGCCCAGTGCTTACTCAGTCACTGACGTGGCCTTAACCTAGGTGCCCATGTCAAACTCCTTCCTGCATATTATCGAACAATGCGACAATTTCACACTCCCGAACTTTCACAGTGAACTAGTCCTGTTCTGTTTCTCAGGTGACCTAAGGTCACTCGCTTCACCGATCGGACTGCTCTGGCCGGAGGTCGTCCAAGCACTACAAGCAGACAATGTTGCCGCACATACTGAAGGGCGGGAGCCCTCCTGGGTCTTTATATCTTCCTCATCAAAATCAGATGCAGCTGGAAAGGAATACATATCACACGTGCACTTTGCCTCACATCTCACAGATCGTAACTCACGTTCCGCCGCACTTGCTGCCACTTGCACTCGCTGGCGCGATATTGGACTATTTACAGAGGAGATTGGTGGACGAAACTGGCGTAACGAGCTATATCCAATATATGCAAGCCCATTTTGCGAATTGACGCCTAGGAATGTTATGTGTACAATTGAGCGTGCAGCTGCACCCTTATTTGTGTGTGTCACGTATAGTGCAAACATGACCGTATTTCAACGGACAAAGGAAGGAGAAACGATGGTATGGGTACCGATCCGTGCCAAAACAAAGCAGACGTACGGATCTCCGTCCTCATTACGCCTATTCTTCGTATGTTTCTCTAGAATGGGAACTGAGATGAAGATCTATGAACAGATGGCCAGGTATGATGGACAACAGCGTTGCGGGCGGAATTGCAGCAGACATGTCTCCCGTAGAGGTAATTGTGAAAGAATCTATGGAGGAGGCAAACCTAGCAGAGGACGTGGTCCACAAACATGCTCGCACAGCAGGAGCTATAAGCTATTTCTTCCAGTAAGTGATTCAAATACAACGTACGTTTTTAATGGTTGGCGTCCACCGATAGGAAAGGAAAATGGCTCCAGCCGGAAGTGGAGTAAGGATGCATTGACCCCTCCTTATGCTCCATTTTGTAGCTCAAAGTTCTCTTTGTTTTGATAGGTATGTATTCGACCTAGAAATCCCTTCAACTGCGGCAGCTTCCGAGCTTGAGCGATTTCGGCCACTGCCACTGGACGGTGAAGTCGAGAAATTTGAAGTACGTTTAGCTTCTACGTCTTGATAGCTACCTATCGCCCTCTGCCACAAATCAATGTTTTACAACACAATAGCAAACTTACACGAGTGGCTGATGTCTTTGTACCCTGGAAGTTCCTGTCACTGAATGAGATCATCCCCCGGTTGCATCAAAGGCTCTTCAAACCAAACTGTGCCCTAGGTCCGTTCTCTCCTTCCTCTACCCAACCCCTTCTTTCCTGTATCCACACTAACTGTCTTATATCATTTCGCCCTCCACTCTTTACCATTCATATTGTGAAATGGCTAATGTGTTGAAAGCAGTCCTAGTCGACTTCATGATCCGGTACGGATACATCACTCCAGAGAACGAGCCCAACTACTTAGAGATTGTCACTCGACTGCATGGAAGGTTTGATTATCCACTCTGGGCTCGAGTCAAGACTTCGGTTTGATTGGGCGAACACGCATAATATGGAAAGTTGGTAACATGGCATCGGTTATAACGGGAAGGACGTTTAATATGTTTTCGCTATAGGAAATAATAATTATGAAAATTCGATTCAAACTTCAGATGACTTGTTAAGCTGGTGAAAGTTTCAGACAGCGTAGAAGTTCAGTGCAGTTAAATATGTGTTCGAAGTTAGTACTGCATTATTGATTATCCAATTCAACACATGGGGCATTTCACAATTCCTTACCTTAAAAAATAACTTACATAATGATAAACATTATTTGAAATTTATTTTCCCATTTTTGACCAGTAAAAATTATAAACAAAATTTGTAATTTTCTTAAGACAAAAACTATAAATTATTTTTAATATTTAT